TTCCCTTGCAGAGTTATCTTCCTCTCTCTCTTTTACTGAGCAAAAAAACAAAATGTATTGGTAGCACTTTTTTGTTTTTAATTACACAGCCCAGATCTCTACCAAGTCCCAGGAAAGAGAGATGACAAGACAGTTAGGCATGGGTGGTATTTGGATTCAGAAGTCCCTATAATCCAACTTTCAGCCTGCCCTAAAAGATCTTTTCTCCCAGCAGCTTATGCTTACCCCACCAATTCTCAAGTACAGCAAACACTACCTCCAAAAATCCTTTACCTTAGAGGTCTGCACAGTTCATATGGCTTCTCAAATACCCCCAGAGATGTTCAGTGGGCATTAGGTGGCTGCTACACCCTCAATAAGGGGAAAGGTCTTTAACTCTCTAATCCTGACAGAAGATGATGAGAGGCAGGAAGCCAACCTGCTTGCTGCTGGGCAGAAGCAGAACAGAAAATGCCTACTACTCGGTGCAAGGTAAAATCCCATGAGGTATCCAGGTGGTCACTGCTCCCACGCCCAAGAAATGTATAGGAGGGGCATGGAGACCTAGTATCCCCTGAAGATTTTGGGGAGGGCATTGTGGACAGCCAAAAATACCTTTAAAAGCAAATACCTGTTGGGAGAAGATATTACTAGAGCCTGATGGCAATGGTGTAAGAGGAGAGTGCTGATTCAGGCAGGTAGAAAAGACTTGAGAGTCCTTTTAAGAGCTGCCATTATTATTATTCATTTTGACAGAATTTTTTTACGGAGGGTCAATGGGCGGGGGGAATGGAACAGAGAAGAGAGATGCTAATATTCATCAGCTGGTTGATATTCAGAAATATGTAATGACTAAACAGCACCTCATAGTCACCCCATTAAAATATTTTTTTTGTTCATCCCTACCTCCTAGAGACCCTCTCCAGCTTCACTTTTCTATTCATTCTTCTTCCTTCACACCTCTCCTCAGTATCTCACTCTATTTTTCTTCTTCCTTTTTCTCTCTCTTTATCCCCCACTGCGTGCCTCTCATGCCAGAAATACAGCTATTAATATAACAATGTGAAAGATGTGAAAAAACAACAACAAAAGCCAGTCTAAAACAATACAGCACAATAAAATTGTGACATTGGACAGTGATTGTATGTATCAAGTTAAAACATGCACAGATTTTTTTTTTAAATCCATCCAACTGCCTTAATATACAAATATTTTTAAAAATACACTTCCCTCCTTTCCTGTATTATCTCTATGGTAAACCGTACCCCTTGCTCAATTCTCCTACCCTGCAACCATAACACTTCATGGATTAATCCCATCAGATCTCACACACAATGTAGACTGTGGGTGGAGTCCAGGCCCTAATGAAATTAATAAAATGTGGCCACAACTAGAGATGGGACATTGTGGGTAGCCAGAGTTCTGTAGTGACATCATGCATTCTCTCTCTCTCAGGGTACGTCTAGACTACATGCCTCTGGTGACAGAGGCATGTAGATTAGACTACCCGGCATAGGAAAATGAAGCGGCGATTTAAATAATCGCCGCTTCATTTAAATTTAAATGGCTGCCGCGTTGAGCCGACAAACAGCTCTACAGGCCACCACCTAGAAATACTCTGAAGATGGTGTGTTGTTGGAGGGACAGAGCATATCAAAGGTAAGAAGAGGTGAGTGTTGCAGGGCAAAGCTAGAGCAGATCTACCCATCTGCTGTTTACAGTCCCTGGAAGACCATATGCAGCTGGTGTAAGCAGAAAAGGAATCAGAACAGACGTATCTTCAGAATTAGTCAGCCATAATCACTCCCTGATGGCTCACACCATCCTGTGTCTAAGATCCAGTCCAATAATTGGTTTTGCTTAGCAAAACAGAATGTGATCACATGGCCATAATCACTTTACATACCTGTACAGCATTATTGTTTATGCAGGGTGTGTATACTTATTTCAGAATGTGAGTCTGATCTATGCACAAAGGCACTGAAGTCACAAGCATACAAACTAGTATTTTTGCCAACATTCTCTTAGACGATGTCTACATTGCACCACAGCTCAAAATAAGATATGCAATTAGAGCTACGCAAATTGAGTATCTTATTTCAATCTTATTTCAAAATAACCCATTATTCTGAAATATCCCTTACTCCTTGTGGAATTAGGTTTACAGGGATGTCGGAACAATAAGCCCATCATATTTCGAAATAAAAGGCTTGCTGTTAAGATGTAGGATAGCTATTTCGGGATACTCCAGTATCCCAAAATAGTGCTGCAGTGTAGACGTAGCCTTAATGTCCTTGCTTAACTTCTATGTTCCTGAGACAGGGAGGCAATGCCTGGATGCAACATACATATGCTAAAGTTACTGACCTGAGAGCATCTCTCACGATGGTGATTTGCAATACTGATGATTAAAGAATGGTTTATGGTTAGAGATTATTAGAAATATTGAGTTGGTATGTTATCTCTTGCATCTGTGGATTTACATTAGTGTAGAATCAGACTCATTCCCTCTACTGACCCACAAAGAAAAACAAAGTGGCTCTTATCTCAGTAGCAAAGTCTGTTAAATTTCTTTGAGTATCAACAATCTGGGTTATCTGTTCCATTTACACCACTGTAACTTGTGCAAATTAAAACAGCCTGGCTATTTCTGGCTAGAACCCCAGCTCTCATTGACTGAGCTAAGTGACTTTGTCCACTTCCTTCTATTTCTGCTTTGTATTATCTGATGTTTGCCCTTTGATACTGGAGCTTTTCCCAAACATGGACATTTTCTTCAGCGTTTTGTTTGCATTTGACTGTGTTATTGGCTGGTGGACTTACCTGGCTATAACCTTAATCAATGTACAGAAACTATAATGCATCCATCCCCACTGTATCTAGACATTTCTTTTCATGTTTTATTTATCTTACTTATTTAAGTTAATTGTATCAACCAGTGGCGGATATAGGGCGGGGTGAGCGGGGCGGCTGCCCCAGGCCTCGCACTTCAAGAGGCTCTGCGAATGTGCTGTGGCGCCACAGCGCATGCACCCGTGTCAAAGGGGGACCCTGCAAAACCCTCATCCGCTCCTGGTATCAACTCTTTTCAAGATTTTTATTTCCATTTACATCACTGGAAGGTAAAAACCCTCATCCGCCCCTGGTATCAACTCTTTTCAAGATTTTTATTTCCATTTACATCACTGGAAGGTCCTAGAATATCACAGTGATGGTGGATACAAGGTCCTAATATACAATAGAAGAGTCTGGTACAGCTTTCTTTCTGAACACCACAAATTTGACTGAATACACCTTTTATTTGTAGCCCTAGAGCGCTGCTCATTAAAGTTTGTTGTCCTTCTTCTTTTAGAGAAACTGTCTGTCTGCTATGTATTTGGAATGATGATAACATTTTAGTACACAGATCAAGAACTTTTGGAAGAGTGAAACAATTTCTTACCAATATCCGACAAGACCTGGTCTTCATTTTCATTTGAAGGAACCACGGTGTCCTTGAAAGGCTAGAAAAAAGGAAACTACATTTTGAAGATGAATGGTCAAGTTTGAATTTCATTACAAATAGGGATGTAAAATACTGTTTAAAAAGTTGACAGGTTAAACTGTATGTTTAACTGATCAACAGGGATCCCATGGCAGGGGGCTGCTCCAACTTGGCTGGGCCTAGTGTGCCATAAGATGCTCCAGCCAAGCCAGGAAAAGCCTGCCACTCCACGGATGGGGGTTGCTCTGGCCAGGCCAGGCAGGGCCTGCCTCACTACAGCGTGCTGTAGTGGGCCTAGCCAGGCTGTAGCTGCCCTGCCTGCATTGTGGTGGAACAGCCCCCTGCCCGTGCCATGCCACCAATAAGGCAAATGCTTACCAGGTAACTGGATGACCCTTTACATCCTTAATTACAAACTGCACAGGGTGCTTCCAGAAGTCTCTTAAAAATCTATTCAGCACCATTTGCTCATTTCATTTACTTCAGTAAATGCAGAAAATACCTCAGGCTCTATGACCCCTTAATACCATTATGAGCTGGGTGAAACCTTGTTCTGGGTTGAGTTAAAACTTGTTCTGATGTGTGATAATCCCCTTCATTTAAAGACAGCTGTAAGAGACAGTTAAAGGCCAACACCTAAAACAAGCACTAATTGAATCCGCTCAGAAATGGGCAGGCAGCTCCACTGGATATTATGACCAAGTGAGTGCATGAAAGCGCAGTCAGAACACATAAAAACAGAGAAGAGCTAGAAGAGCAAGGGAGGCAGAGGCAAAAAGCGAGGCAGCCAAGTGTTGGCCTGTGAGCAGAGTGTGACTCTGGAAAACTCAAGGGACAGAACTTTGGGTCTAAGGAGCTGGGACTGTAAAATAAGACATTACTGCTTTTTGTTCTTGCTTCCCCCTGCATTCAGAAAAGCAGGACTTTGTACATCCCTTGGCAATAAACAAATTCCTTCAAAGAGAAAACCAGACTCCACCAACTGGAACATCCTCAAGGCCCTGAACTTTGACTAGCCAGCTGAGATAGAAAGAGACAACCATACGTTCAAAATACAATTGCCTGAAAAATAAAGCTAGCAGCATCACCTCTAGTCACAAAAAATAACCAATGAGAGATACAATCAAACTCAGACAATATTCCACCTCTCTTGCAAGCACCAGACTTCACAGTGGCCCTCCCCCTTCAAGAGCTCAGGCTTTATAGTGCTGGAAGGGTCACCAAATACAGACTATTTTAGAGTTAAGTGGGATAGAAGTCTAAAATGAGAAGCTGCAGCTCAAAGATCTCTAGTGTTTAGTGACCAAAGCTGTAGCCATATCATACAGGGAGAGGAAATCTGAGGCCATTTTTACAGCTTTATAGGTCAGAACAAATACCTTTAACTCCATCCAGAAATCAATGGGCAGCCAGTGCAGATGAGGGAGCACTTGTGTCACATGCTTCCAGCAGCATATGAGTATTGCTACATTCTGCCTCAATTTAAGATTCTAGGTGGATATAATGTGTAGCCCTATATAGCTGTAATTAATCTAATCTGAAGTTGAATTATGGATTATGATAGCATGGTCTGTATCCACAGACCTAGAGAAAGGACAATCAATAAGGCCACAGTTGCTACACAGAATCATCATCAGACTGGAAGGGACTTTGAGAGGTCTTCAAGTCCAGTCAACTTCACTCAAAGCAGGTGTAGCTTCAAGACCATCTCCAGCTTGTAAACTCTATTGACAAAAAACAAGCACCGGCCCTAAAGAAAGGGGAAGATATTATTCTACCCATATTTTCCAGTTGCTTCTCAACCTACAAACATTACTTCAATCTTGTGCATTCTGTGCCTCAGCTAGCTGCTCTCCTCCACATACCCAAATCTCAATTTTATAAACTAGAAAAAGTAAAACTGAGACCAAGGATCTCTCAGGACACAACCACAGAGAGACATACATCTAAAGCACGATACAAAATAGACATCAAATAGAACTAATCAAAATGGGATTATATGCAAGCATCATACTTTCTTTCTCTGCTATCAAGTGTAAAACATCACATTTTATATTAGACCCATGTAAAAATATTTGCAAACAGGATCAGTATTTTTTATGCCACACAGTCTCTAATAGACTTTGTGTCTGATCCTGCATATATTGCTAATGAGAGTCTACTCTATGTTATTTCCCAGTCTTGAGATCACCTAAAATATCGCGTCACCCACTTGGACCTCCACTGCCCTCCTTAGCTCCACTCCTCATGAACAATAGAACTCTCAAGGAGGAAGCCAGTGCATGGAGATGGGGCTTCACCTCAAGCTGGTCCCAAGGCTGTAGAATACACGGCCATAGGAATGTCCACAGACATCATGACTTTCCAGTCCAGTTGTAAACTTTCTTTCTTTGACCTGATTTCCAGATCACCAACACAGAACAGATTCACTGAAGTAAATAATAAGCACATATATACAACTTCCCCTAGGACAGGGACGGAAAGGGGCTGGCATTAATCACCTTATTTATTTTTTTAAACTATGGAATATGCTGAGATACCACAATGTAAGGTGCAATAGGAGAACTTAGAGGCTAGTTATTTATATAAAAATAAAGCTGTACCTTCACATCTTCACTTCCAGGTGCTGATGAATCAGATTCCAAGTTCATGGGATCTGTAAAAGCAAGATTTCTTATTAACTTCTAGTGATAAACAATGGAAATTTAATGTTTTTTCAACCAAGGGGGGAAAATATAATGAACAAACAGCAACGCAGAACAATGTACTTTTGTAGCACACACATCACCCCAAACTAGCATACCAGTGGGCAGAATACTAGATGATTGTACAACAAGTGGCTACATTATTATGAACCAATTGTAAACACGCTCTTGAGTTTAAAGGGACAGGCAATGAAAATATATATTGATTCATAAACTAGACTTAATTTGCAAGCAGACCTCAAAATAGCACAAATCAGAAGTTGTGCCTTAAGCTCTGGGAGATCCCCACTGCTGTGCACTGTCCTAAAGACACTTCATCCATTTTAAAAATTAGTCCCTGCATTAAAAAAAGTGATAAAAATCTTCATTTCTGTCACTCTCTTTTTTAGGGTTTCTTCTTAAGACAATGGAAAAAGACATAACAAGCACAAAAACATATTCCAACTCTGCAAGATTTGCCCAATCACAGACATTTATGAAATGTCAAACAGAGCAGGAGTAATCTGGTTATGGGCATATAAATGAGCACAGGCATCTGCAGGGCTTCCAAGAAGCATTAGCTACTGTCACATTTACTGGTTAAAATAAAATCAAAGAAAATAAGCCCTCCCATTTTCATAACCTTCCCTTATATAATTTTTTTATTTCTTGTATATTCAGGCTTGTAACTAAAGATTCAGGTCTGTCCTCAGATATATACTCAGACTATATCTTAATAGACTTTAAGCATGAGCGGTGAGTGACCCCATGGTGTGGGAAGTCAAGCCTCCCCTCCCCCAGCCCTGCCCACGAAAGCCCAGGCCTCCTCCACCCCTCCCACACACACACACACACACACACACAGTGGCCTGCTGGCCCCTGCCCCCAAATAGTGTCCTCAACCTCCTCCCGGCCCCAGAGTCCTGGAGAGCCAGAGCATGGCACACCCACAGCCTCAGAGAGCTGGCAGATGGCATGGCTGCAGCCTACCCTAGCTCTGAAGGTCTGGAAAGTTGGCCAGCTTCCCGCAACCCTGACCAACAAGGCCGCCTCTGCAGCCGAGCCACCAGCCCCAGCACTGGATGGCCAAAGTGGTCCTAGTGCCAGGATGACAGTTGACGCAGTCCCCAACTTGTATGCCCCAGCCATCACAGCGAGGAAGTTTGAGAAAGCATTGCCTTCCCCTGCCTACGATACCTGTCACCCATGACTTCAAGGTCAGAAGGGACCATCATGATCATCTAGTCAAGGGGTGGGCAAACTATGTTCCCCTGGTCTGTATCCAGCCCATCAGAGCTTTTAATCTGGTCGAAGGACTACCAGTTTGGTGGTGCGGTGGGGCTGAGGCAGGCTGCCCATGCTGCTCCCAAAGTGACTGGCATATGCCTGTGGCCCCTAGAGGTTTCTGTGTGCTGCACCTGCCTGGAGGCACCACCCCTCACAGCTCCCATTGGCCAGGAGCAGGGAACCACAGGCAGTGGGAGATGCAGAGGTGGTGCCTTCAGACAGCAGCAGCCCAAGGCTCTTCCTGCCCACCCACACTCTCTCAGGAACTGCTGTTGAACATGACAGCCACTTCCAAGAGCCATGTGGAGCCAGAAAGCCTGCCTTAGCCCTGCTGCACTGCTGCCTTGGAGCTGCCTGAAGTAAGTGGCGCTGGGCTGTGGTCCATACCCTCTCTCAACCTACCCCTACATTCATGGTCTGCCATACAATTTTCCTGCTCAAATGTGTCTCTTAGGCCAAAAAGACCCCCTGACCTCTGGCTGAGTCACTGAAGTACTCAGATCATGATTTAAAGTCTTCAAGTTAGAGCAAACCCTCCATTTACACTAGTGTAAACACGTAGATGACTCATGCCACGTGCAGAAGGGAAAAGCGAAACCCCCAAGGTTCTCTGCCAGTCTGACCCTACATATGGTGATTAGGAAGCCCCAGAGCAAGCGGGCAAGACTCTCTAGTAAGACACAGATATGCAGCTGCATTTTCAGTTAACTTTGTAATATCAGCTACTGCGCACGAATTTAACCACAACTTAATACTTTTTAAAAATCACATATATCTTTGTATTTTAGGAGATATCATTCATACACCTTTGAGGCTTGCTTTACCTCTTTCCCATCCTTAGTTCTGTGCAGAGCCCAGGCTGCAAACCTACAACACTGTACCAATCCATCATAAGAAGAACTAGCTGGATATCTAAGCCCAGCTGCAGACTCCAGCAACAGTACTAAGGTCTAATGCTGCAATCCTTATTTAAATTAAACTTTCTGAAGATTAAACTCCACTGAAGTCAATGGGAGTTCTGCCATTCTGTACAGGATTGGGTCCATATTGATTAATTTCTTAATATCAATCCTTCTGTTGCAACCATATATGTGCCAGCCCTGCTCCCCAA